CATGGACTGAAGAGATATTAACTACTTCCGGGTCAGGCCTATAGAGACTTCCTCCATACTCTCTTTCTCTATTTGCCAATCAGATGCTGAGGATCTAGCAAAGAACTCTTGAAGATCCTAGCGGTCCCGCGCCTCTGAGATGAATGGAGGCTGAACTCCCTAAAGCACTACTTGTGAAAAACTTTCCCTCTATTCAGAAAGAGGTTTTTTTTTTTTTTTAACTTTAGTTGAGTGAAACATAAACATCACTTTTTTTGTTTTTTGCTTAAATAAGTTGACTTAAAAAAAATAAACATCTATTATGCTAAACTGCTGAGAGTTGGGTAGCATTACACTAATTAACACAAAATGGTATTGTGGAAAACCAAAGCATTGATACGGAGGACAAAGGTAAGGCATTCTCTCAGACTGCAGAGAAAAAGAAAAAAGAGGTAGTATATATAAAAGATGATGGATAGTCAGGACAAAAAACAAAGATCCCAGCATTTGTATATTAGAAAGAATATTCTTTTTTATAAGTTTTGATTTATTTTGAGAGAGTATTTTTCAAAAGGCTGAATCAATAATCAGTTATCAAAGATATAATTAAATAAAAATTTCTGGAGTAAAAATTAAGCTGGGCATAGAATTTGAAAAAGGTCACTATATTTCAAGTATAATTAATAAGAAGATACTGACACCAGGGAGCCTGGGGGGCTCAGCCCGTTGGGCATCTGACTCTTGGTTTGGGCTCAGGCCATGATCTGCATGGACATCGCAGAGACTGCTTGGGATTCGCTTCCTCCTCTCCCCTCTGCCCCTATCCTGCTCGCTCGATCTCTCTCTCAAAATAAATAAATAAACATTTTAAAAAACATTTTTAAAGAGACCCCTGGGTGGCTCAGTCGGTTAAGCGCCTGACTTAGGCTTCGGTCAGGATCTAGCGGTTAGTGAATTCGAGCCCCGCCTCCGGCTCTGTGCTGACAGCTCGTGAGGGAGCCTGCTTCGGATTCTGTGTCTCCCTCCCTCCCTCCCTCTCTCTCTCTCCCTCTCTCTCTCTCTCTCTGCCCCTCCCCCGCTCACACTCTGTCTGTCTCTCTCTCAGAAATAAACATGAAAAAATTAAACACTGTTTAATTAAAAAAAAGATACTGACGTCTATGAAGAGATGTATGTTTCAGAAAAATGGCAATCGGTCAGTTCCAAGTCTCCCCCCTACACTCTTCCCGGAAAAAAAGAAAAAAATCAACAGGAAAGTACAGCAAAGGGAAAACACATGCTAAAAAGGGCATTATTAGATCACCTGACGAAACTGGACTACGGACGCTTATGATAGATTAAAAAATGCTTACAGTGTTAAATTATTGAAGTTGAAAACAGAGTCTCCCTCGTCTTAGGCGACTCGATGAAGTAGTTCGGGGTAAAAGGCACATAACTTACCCACGAGCGCTTCGGGGAAAAGGTGCGTGTGCGCGCCTATGCGTGTCTGCGCACATGCTTGCACGTGTGCGTCCGTGCGCGTCTGTGTGCGTCTGTGCGCGTCTGTGTGCGTCTGTGCGTGCGTGCTGCGTGCCTCTGCGCGCCTGCGTGTGCGCGTTATGCGGAAAGAGATTGAGAACAAAGAGAGGTGGGACCAAACGCCAGTGAGGGGTGAATCTGCCTTAAAGGTATTTGGGTGTTCTTTTTACTAATCTTATTCTTGCAGCTTTTTTTCTGAGTCTGAAATACTAAAAAAAAAAAAAAAAAGGTATTTGTAAGAGGGGTCCAACAAAACAATTCTAAACCTATTTGGGTAAAAGAGAGACAATCCTTCAAAAGAGATCAAAGCTCAAACTGGTTTGAGATTTTGGGGGGTTACATTAGGTATCAGAAGAAATGAAGTAAGAATTATAAATACATTATATAAATTATATAAATAAGAATTTATATAAATTATATAAAAGACTTATATAAATTAAATAAATATAATTGTATAAATTATATTGTACTTGTGACATAAGATTTTTATCCTTTGTCAAGAAGTTATTTTTCTTTTGTGAAGGCATCAGAAAAACTGTCTTGTACACTCAGGAACTCAGAAAACATGTCATCTATGTGTCCTTCTTAAAAACTTATCTGACGATGCATTACAATAGGCTCAAAGATCATTATAATTCCAGTTCTAGCACCAGTGAGATCTGAATAAAAAGAACTGGCCGTTGGTCATTAAAACCAATGAATGATACTCAACAATATTCAGTATTCAGAAAATCAGTGTAATTAAGTAAATGTAAATGAATTTAGGTATTTCAGAGTTAAGACTATACACGGTGTAGAACAATGTCAGAAGCCACAAGCTGGATTTTTATTAACAGAGTCTGGAGAATTGGTGAGGGAGAAGATGGTAGGAGGGGAAATATGGGATAATTTGCTCATTTTATATTTGGGGCAATCAGGAAAATGCATAATGTTGGCTTCGGTGATTGGTGGAAAGTAAGTTGAGCAACAGAAACACTGAACTGTACGTGTGACAGCAAATCACACAGGTCTGGTGACATGAGCAGTTGGTCGCCTTGAGCGGGATCAGAGCCAGGAAAAGCCCTTATGCCAGTCAGGGTACAGAGAAGTGGGTACTGTTGCTAGAACCTTCTGGTTCCAGAGACACAGGCACAGCAAGAGGTTGTTGGGCCATATTGCAGGTTTCCATGGGAGCATCAGAAGGGGAGCACTTTTAAGATTTATGAGCAAAGCCAGGCCTCCAACAAATAATTCTTCTCTTTTTGAGAGTAGCAACCCCTGGCTTGTCACTGGGCTCTGGAGGAGACAACTGACCATGGGACACCAGGTGACCGGATACCGGCTACGTGCCATTCGTGAACTGGGTGTTATCTGACCCACTGGGCCATAAAACTGGAAATTCCAATAAGTGCGCCATTATTACAGAAAGATGATTTATTGGTCTACACGGGCCCCTACCGAACAGTTTCTGAAGGCACAAATAAGGCCCACCGGCCAAGTCACTTGTGCCCAGCATGTGTACCTTGGCAACCTCACCTGTACCCAATACTTCATGGCAGATTCCCAATGACCGCCTGACTAAATTCAGGCCGGATTTAGATGGCCCTGAACCATATCCCCACGATGGACTATCGCAGTGATTATGGTCCTCTTTAGGGGTAGCCCTGAACACTGGGGAAGGGAAACCATCCCAGCGGGCAGCACTTGGCCTGCAGGAGGAACTGGCCTGGAGTAAGGCCCCACATCGATCCATGGAGTGGCTGACGGAGGCCATGTGGTCAGAGATAATCCCAAGGTTAAAAACAAACCAAACAAACCCATAGCTTTAGGCTGATTTCACTAAATATGATTATATGCAGTGGTAAAATTAAAACTATGTATATCATAATGTTAACTTTATGGGTGGTTTTTATTTTCTTCCTATATTTTCCTAGATGTTTTTCAGTGAGTATGTATTATTTTTATAAACGGGCAAAAAAGTAAATATCTTTTTTTTTAATTTTTTTTTTAATTTTTTTTTCAACGTTTATTTATTTTTGGGACAGAGAGAGACAGAGCATGAACGGGGGAGGGGCAGAGAGAGAGGGAGACACAGAATCGGAAACAGGCTCCAGGCTCCGAGCCATCAGCCCAGAGCCTGACGCGGGGCTCGAACTCACGGACCGCGAGATCGTGACCTGGCTGAAGTCGGACGCTTAACCAACTGCGCCACCCAGGCGCCCCAGTAAATATCATTTTAAAAAGAAGCTTTCTTGGGGTGCCTGGCTTGGTTGGTTAAGCATCTGACTTTGGCTAAGGTCATGATCTCATAGTTCATGGGTTCGAGCCCTGCATCAGGCTGTGTGCTGATAGCTCTGAGCCTGGAGCCTGGAGCCTGCTTCGGGTTCTATATCTCCTTCTCTCTCTGCTCCTCCCCCGCTCATACTCTATCTCTCCCTCTCTCAAAGATAAGTAAACATTAAAAAAAAATTTTTTTTTTTTTAAAACTTTCTTAGGGCTTGGCTTCGTAGACATTCAGCATGGTTTGTATTATTTTGCTCTGGAGTCTGTCTTCCGTAAGAAACACTGTGGTTAGTCTGTGACCTTGTTCCATTTTGCCCCTTTGTGAATCTGCTTTGGCATGCTGTGTACCAAAGACAGTGGAATCGTGATCTTTGTAACTGATTCAGTCATATAAATAGAATTCAGAGTGAGCAGCTTTCTGTTGATCTAAAAGTGCGTGAAACAGCGTGGCATCACTGAGAGATCAAGGCTTTGGGGTAAGACTGGCTGACATTTGATTCCCAACCCTTGCTGTTTATTAGCCATATGACTTTGGACAATACAACTGACCTCCAAGTACAGATTTCCTCTTCTTGACAAGGAGAGGATGCCAACCACTTTATTCTATCCCCATAGAGTGATCAAAATAATCCCAAGTGACAAGTTACGTAAGCTGTCTATCTACCAGTACTGAGCTCAGGCTCTTCATACTTTTCTGTGCATGCAGGTGCGGTAAGGGAGCGTAGGTGGGGGGAATGGAACAAGGAACAGGGCTCCATTTTTCCACGCTCCGAAATGCTGCTTACTTTCATCAGCAAGAAAGGGAGTGGAAAGTCTCAATTTACCTTCTGCCCAACTGCCTATGATGAAGTTGTGAGCACAGGTGGGCCAGCTGAAAGGGAGGGACGAGGAGAATCCTGATATGTCCCCCACTTCTCCCTCAGAGCATGACTTCTCCAAATACGAGTATGAATGAGTCTCCAGTCACCATCGACTCCCACGGTTAGATGGGAAACCGCAAAAGAGGCAGTTGTGTGTATAGATTTATAAGATTGTGAGGCAAGTCTACTCCAGCGGGAGCAACCGGGAGGCACTCTAGCTTGGGATTTGCTTTCCCCTCTGTTCTCTAGTTTGGGAAATGCCTCGAGAAAGATCAATTCCAGCACATCCCAGGTGGCTGAAGCTTAAGAGCAATAAAAGAGACAGCTTTGCAGTCAGATAGAAAAGAATTTTCTAAACTCTGTAGCCACAAGAAGGTCCTCTAGTTCATCTCTGATCCTGTCCGTGTTCTCCCATGAGGCCTGTGGAATCCGATATATAATCCGATATATATACCATATCTTTATCCATTCATCCATCGATGGTCATTTGGGCTCTTTCCATACTTTGGCTATTGTCAATAGTGCTGCTATAAACATGGGGGTGCATGTGCCCCTTCGAAACAGAATACCTGTGTCCCTTGGATAAATACCTAATAGTGCAATTGCTGGGTCATAGGGTAGTTCTATTTTTAATTTTTTTAAGAAGCTAGGGAGGTTCAATTATTATTAAGTTCACTTTCCCAGGGCACCTGGGTGGCTCAGTCGGTTGAGCATCAGGTCATGATCTCACAGTTCCTGAATTTGAGCTCTGCATTGGGCTGGCTGATGTCAGCGCAGAGCCTTCTTCCAATCCTCTGGGTCCCTCTCTCTCTCTGCCCCTCCCCCACTTGCATGCACACGCGCACGCTCGCACTCTCTCTCAAAAATAAATAATCATTTGAGAAAAAAAAAAAAAACAGGAAAGAAAAAAAAGTTTACTTTCCCTAAGGCAGCTGATGACTTTCTGGAATTTTGTGAGGAGCTCTGTTAGCTATGATTTTAAGGCAACAAGGGATAAAGCAAATAGGAAGGAATCAACCACAACTCTTATCACCAAAATAGAATTGCAGGAGTCTCGGCCTTGAGGAAAGCTACAAAATGGCCAAAGGACCATTGCCCCAAGATGTTGTTCATCCCACGGTCCACTCCACACTTCTACGTAATGTCCGAGTTTGCCACATCTAGAGTATCTCCAACTGACCAACATCTGGAGCCCTCAGTGCCAGGTATGGTGACTGCAATATGGGGCAAGTTATTCTGTAAAGTGAGGTCATTAGTCAACGCTCAAACCTTCTGAATCCCTTAGAAAAGAAAGAAAAAGATGAGTGTGTATGAGTGCGTGAGAGAGAGGGGTGGGGGGAGAGAAGGAGAGAAGAAGAAAGAGAGAAGGAGAAGGGAGGGAGGGAGGAAAGCGAGAAAGGAAGGAAGGAGGAAAAAAGAGCAAAAGAGAAAGAACAAGAAAGTACGTAGGTCTTTCTTGTTGGTTTCCCTGATGTAATCTATTATGTCTGGGAATGACAGTCCTGCAGAAACATCTGGGACTCATCATCTGCCTTCTGCTGCACCAGAGATGATTTTTGGATAGTAATCTAACATGGGGGCACTCTAGAAGCCTACCAAAGGGAAGAGCAGGCTTTTCTATATTTATTGTGCCAAATGAGAGAATTTAGAGATTTGAGGGAAAGTTTTCATTGCAATGTCAAGGTGGGAGTCCTTAAGACTCTCCCACTCCAGATAAGCACAAGCTCCATCTGTTCCAGGGAAGATGCAGACTGTGGAAAACAAGCTCGCATTCTTTGTTTTGCACACACACTGGAAAGAATAGATACAATTTCAAGGACTTTTGAGACATCAGTCAGCTGGGCGAAGAACAAAGTCTCATTTTCTACACTTAGTGGAGCTGTTTATAACTGAGACTGTCTTCTGCAGATATTGATAATTACTAATAGTTTTAAAAGAATCACCTACAGGAAAGACAAACATTCAGTTAACCTCTAGTGGAAACCGTTTGGTTCAAATAGAAAACCGTAGTCTGGAACTGACAATGACTTTCCTAGCATGGTTCGTTTGGAGTTCACTTCCACTCAACAGGTCTTGGGAAGATTCTGAAATTATTTCTGTGATGCCTCAATTTCCTTTTACAAGGAAGAAAGCTGCAAGAGAACGGTCAATGTATAAACAGATGATTAATAACCAGGAAAGACATCAGCATAATCACTAGGAACAATCACATTTGCTCCCTGCATGGATAGAAAAGATGGTTTTAACTTGAGAGGCAGCTAAAAGAAGCTAGTCTTTTCTTTTCAATGACGTTAAAAAATGAAATACAGAATTTTTATTTTTTTTTTTTAATTTTTTTTTTTCAACGTTTTTTATTTATTTTTGGGACAGAGAGAGACAGAGCATGAACGGGGGAGGGGCAGAGAGAGAGGGAGACACAGAATCGGAAACAGGCTCCAGGCTCCGAGCCATCAGCCCAGAGCCCGACGCGGGGCTCGAACTCACGGACCGCGAGATCGTGACCTGGCTGAAGTCGGACGCTCAACCGACTGCGCCACCCAGGCGCCCCAAAAAATGAAATACAGAATTTTTGAAAAGCAGTCATTTGCTTATCGCCAAGAAATCCATGTGATGCTTATTTTATTTTATTAGTGTTTTATTCTTAGAGAGAGAGACAGACAGACAAAGCACAAGCAGGAGAGGAGCAGAGAGAGAGGGAGACACAGAATCGGAAGCAGGCTCCAGGCTCTGAGCTGTCAAGAAAGAGCCCAACGCGGAGCTCGAACTCACGAACCATGAGATCATGACCTGAGCCAAAGTCGGACACTTAACCGACTGAGCCACCCAGGCGCCCCATGTGACGATTATTTTAAATTAGGAAGAAAAAGGTTTCCAGGTTTTAGTTAAAAACTGTAACTGTTTATTGGGGGCACAGGACCACAGGTCTCCTTTTACTGAAACGTATGACATATACCCAGCTATTTAACCTTTAACAGTGAAAAACAGAACACTCCTTCTGAGTTCTAGAATTCAATGGGAATCTAAACATTTCCCCCCAATATTCTTTTATTACAGACAATTTCTGGTTCAGTGAAAGTGCACTGCGTTACAAGACAACCTTTGAAACACCAGGGAGAAATATTTTTTAAAGTATTTATCGTCCTATGGGGTTTTAATTTTCTGCTGACTGTTACAACTTGAGAATAGAGGGCCTCACTCCAGTGGGGAGAAAGCTATTTATGAATAGTTTGTGATTTGGAGCAGCTGCTCTCCACTCTATATCATCCTTTTTTTGATAACCGCATTTTCCCAAAAAGCTACCACTAATAAGCAGGTGCATACTAAAACCAACTGCAGCAAAGCTGTTACCTTGAAAGAAAGATGCCAAATAAAAAGCCCCTCCACGTTTGAGGATCCTTGAGTTTCTTCATTATGGGAGAATAATAAATCTGGAAACCTGTTGCATCTTGGGAATCTAATGTTACTCAGGGAGAATACTGTCAAGAGGTTTCTATGCAGCTTTCACTCTGGGCTAAAATGAAAAACATCTTATGCGAGAGGTTGCGTCCTCGTGGGAATTAGAAACGCTTTCATTCCACCCATACAAATAGGATGAAAATATCTGGGTTGCATTGTAAATGTTTCCCTACCTGGCTGAGACGGAATCTCGCTGGCATTGTGCTTGGGTGCTTGAGGGCGGGAACGTGGAAACAATTATGAATTTGAATGTACTGTTCCTGGCCGTCCAGATGAAAGAGATATATAAGCAAAATAGTTTCTCTCAAAATATTTATGATGAGAAATGACTAATCCCCTTTGCACGGTATACTTCTGGAGTTGAAAAGGTCACAACATCCTTTCTCATCATACTGTTTTATTAAAACTTAATTAGGAGACGTGTGATACCCTTAGCTGCTAAAGACTCCGTCAATAGGCAGGATAATCTCCCAGATTACACCCTGGAACCCAGCCCTTGAATGCGAGTAGTAGAGGAATGGATACAGTTGCAAAGGTGCCAAATGAAAGTGACCTTTAAATGTGTTAGGGAATACATTCTATGGTAACCGCAGGCGGGAGTATAAATGGGCATGGCAAATAGTGAAGGGAAATTCGACGATATATTTTAAAAGCCTTAAGCATACATACAGCTTTTGACCTAGGTATTTTAATTCCAGGAAACATTCAGCTTTCTTCACGGATATTCGCTGCAGCCTAAAAATTCAACGTCAGGAAAGTGTTTAAAGAAATGTCCAACGATGAGGAACAGAAGGAAAATGATTCAAGGAAAGAACCATCACGTAGACATTCGGAGCGACGTGGAAGAAGAAGATGGGAGTCGTGACAAACCTTCACGATGACCGTGGGAAAAAGGCAAGTTACAAAGGAGTTTGGATTGTCCAGTTCCCATTTTTCTTTTTAAAAAAATATATGTATATAAAATGTTAAAAGGAAATGCAGTATATAAAAATAATACTCGTGATCATCTTTGGGTGATATGCTGCTTAACTTATTTTTTGAGAAACAGAGTACATACAAGCAAGTAGGGGAGGGGGGAGAGAGAGAGAGAGAGAGAGAGAGGGATTGAGATTGAGAGATTGAGAATCTTTTTTTTTTTTTTCAACGTTTATTTATTTTTGGGACAGAGAGAGACAGAGCATGAACGGGCGAGGGGCAGAGAGAGAGGGAGACACAGAATCGGAAACAGGCTCCAGGCTCTGAGCCATCAGCCCAGAGCCCGACGCGGGGCGCGAACTCACGGACCGCGAGATCGTGACCTGACTGAAGTCGGATGCTTAACCGACTGCGCCACCCAGGCGCCCCAGAGAGATTGAGAATCTTAAGCAGGCTCCACGCTGAGCATGGAGCTCAGCATGGGGCTTGATTCCATGACCCTGAGATCATGACCTGAGCTGAAGTTAAGAGTTGGACGCTTAACCCATTGATCCACCAGGTGCCCCGATGCTTGATTCTTCTTTGCTTCTTTTTCTGCTTTCCTGTAATTTTCAGGATTACAAACGTATATTAGCCTTTAATCAAAAAAATAAGAATAAATGTTAATATCAACGAGGCATAACAAACAGACCAGACATTCCAAGTGTTTATCTATTCCCCACGTACGAATAGCTCCCCAGTTCTTTGCGCATTTGGTCTCACAGTGCACCTGTATTTACTGCATGTATGTGTGAGTGCACATATGTGTGATGGGGCCTCTCAGCCACGTACAATATAGCAGCAAGATGGTACAGGGGTCTGTAGTTCAATGGCAGGACTAGAGATGGTTCAGGATAGATTTGTGGTATAAGCCTAATTCTAATTTTACTCAAGTTATTTTTTAAAGATACAAATATGTTCTATCCAAATCCTTTTTCAAATTTCAGTTGTTTAAAAAATTACTGATAACTGTGCCCCCCCCCAAAGAATGTATCAATACCAAGCTCTAAGATTTCGCTTAGAAGCTTCTTGAAAGAATGGACCTCTATTTCATAGGCTCTTCATGTAGCTATTTAAGGTTTGAATCAAAACAACAACTGAGTGCCAGGTGACCATGGTGCATATGAGACTTTGTCAAGGTCATGCAAATGCTTACATCCCCCCCTACTACTCCTAGGCGTGCATTCGCTTGTTCGTTCATTCACTCATTCATTCATAAACATGCGTCTGCTTCAGCACAGAAATTGCAAAGAGGACTGAGAGACAGTGCTCCCACTCCCTTCTACTCCCCCACCAGTAAGAAGCTCTTTACAGACTGATGGGGCAGAAAGACACATAAGCAGGCTATTGTGAGATTACATAGAAGGTCACGATCACCAGCATCCTCCCATTGTACATTCTTTTACAATATAAATGCCTTTGGAAAGGAGAAGTTTTCTAGACAGGTATTGGCTTTCTTCCTGAGTATGAGAGACAAGGCTGTAAGACACTGATGGACAGGAAACAGAAAAATGGCTTAAGACAAATTCACCTGCTTCCTATGTTGCCAAGGGGCAGGCTTGGGAATGGCTTTCTCCTCTAAGAGGCATTCATAATGGTGAATGTGACACTGAATCCAGAAGCAGTGGCTCCAGGGGATCTGTGTTGGTGGAGAGGATGTGCCGTGGGCTGGCGTGTTATTTGTATGTAGTGGAAATCTTTGTATCTCCAGAGAGTCGTTGGAAGACCCAAGGATGAGGCTTTCAGTTTAAATAGGATTCTTATAATTGTAAGAAGGAATTTTTTCAATCATGTTTTATGTCTTTGGAAAATGTTAGTTATATAAAGTATCTCAATAGAATGAGTGAATGCTCTTCAGCTTGGCAGTGATGTAACTTCATGTTTGGCTTTTTAGAACTATGTCTGAGGGGAAGAAGGTAGAAAAAAAATTCCCTGATTCCTAATGGCCATTTTTAGAAGTTACCACGAAACTTGAAGACTTCTTTTTGGGGGGCTGGGGAAGGGCAGGTTACAAGGGAAACAGACTCAGTCTTAGGGAGTTTTTTCAAAATACCCATACCTGGGCACCACGCTGGACTTGAGTGAATCACAATCCTGAGTGGATAGGGTCTCCTTGGGGGCCCAGCAGGGATCCTTTGAGAGAGTTTCTCCAGGAACCTAATTGATGCCACCCATTCACTGCTGAGAACAGTTGCTCCGGACGTTCTGGATGGTGACTGATAGTCCCCAGGAAATAAGCTGTCGATTGGAAAGAAAATGTTACACTCAAAGACCAGGAGCAGAACATTTGGTCAAGTGGAAGATGAGGACCTCGTGACGAGCAGCTCGTTGATTTATCTGACACATATTCACGGAGGACTGAGTATGGGCCAGGCGCCATGTTAGGCTCTCTCTGCAGGTGCAGGAAAGACCAAGAGAGCCTCAGTCCTGGTCGTCCCAGAGCTCACTGTCGCAGGAAGAGTGACGCCAGGAGGTGGAGTGGCTGCTGTGCTGTGCCACCTGCTTGCCCTGAGAACGAGGGACTCTGTTGTCGGGGCGGTGCTGTCACTCAGGCCGCAGATGGGCTCTCCTCCAGAATTGCCTGAGCTGGAAAGCCCACTCCGCCCCGGCACCCTGCCCTCCCGGGGGCGGCCTGCCTCCAGTGGCCGACAGCCGTGGGAGCGTCAGGAGACCAGACCACTCTGCAGGGTCACCCAGGTTGGGAGCTTCCTCGGGGGTCCGCCCAGGGACTGGCTGGAACCGTGTCACAGCTGCGAAAGGAGAAAAGACCAGGCATTCATAACCGGAGCCGGCCCGGCGCTCACAGCTGGGCCACGTTATTCTCCTGTTGGACATAAACAACTTCACAGAATAAAATCGAACAAGATGATGCAAGCCCTCTCCAGAGTTTCACTTAAGCATAAAGATGGTCACTGTGCCACTCAAATGGTAACAGATTTTCCCGTCACCCCTTCTTGGCCGGAATGAGTGGCTGCTACTCGATTACCGGTTACAACCTTGTCCTCATCCTACTCTTCCCTCGCCAGGGGTAAGATTTATGGGGACACCCATCACAGACAGGCTGCCATTTTGTTTTCTAGATTGCACTGGCAGCGTCCAATCTAGAGAGGACCTTCGGTCTTCTCCCACCCCACCTACCTGAAACCCAGATGCTACCTGAGCTTCTTTCTAACACTCGTACTGAGGGGCCCGTGGTTCCCCACGGTGTGCGTCTCGCTCTCTGCAGTGAGTGATGGACCCGATCTGTGGAACTTCAGGTATGTTCCTGGTGGACTTCAGCTGAAGAGAATTGACCCACCCAACCTCTCGTTGGCCAGCTCGTTTCTCTCCCTTCTTTTCTCATGGGGCCTGAGCCCAAGGGCATTCCCTCCAATACAGATCTTCATCTCAGAGTCTCCATCACAGGGAAACCTACCCAGGGACAAGAAATAACCCCTGACCCTGAGAAGGAAGTGTCGGAGCCAGGGGGACCCGTAGAAGAGTGCCAGGGTCTGCAAGGCAGGCAAGCTTCTTGCAGTCCAGATCAGTGAAACCTGAAGATTGAGTAGTGAGTGGGTGCCATGATGGGGCGGTGGGGGCAGGAGAGGCTTAGAAATGATCTGGAGGCCGCAAGGAGCCCAACGAAAGGTTCTGGCTGGGACACTGGCAGGTGGGAATGGGAGGGAAAGGTGGGGACCAGGTCAGGAGGCACCTCACAAGCCCTAGGAAAGAGTTGGATCTGATTCAACTAATTTTGACCAACGGAAGGATTGAAGTAGGGGAGCAACAGACTTGTATTCTGGGTTCAGAACAGAGTTTGGTATTGAACCATTTCACATCAAACAAAAGATCATGGCATCTTTACATTAAGGACTAGGATAATGGTAACTCAGCACAAAATGACGGGTTCTTCAGAAGTCTTAAAAATACATTTGACTTTTTCTCTACCCGAGTGCAAGTGTATTATTTGTGAATGATACTGTGAAACCTACCAATAGATCTTCAAGTGGGTTTGACCGTCAGCAGCAGTGACCACGTCGGCACCGAGGAGGAGGAATGGTCTTTTGGCATCACACCATTGCACCGGCACAGACACGCCATCCTGCCAGGCTCTGGGAGGCGGTTGATCAAAAGACCTTCCCAACTTCAGGGCCGTTATAATCCAGCTGGGGGCACACAGTGTGTACATGGGAAAGGGAAGAAAAGCAAAGAACGCAAGAGTGTTGACATGACCGGAGGGGCCAAGACAGGGCTTCCTGTGCAAAGGTAGACTTGAGACCATAATTGGAAGCAAAGCTATGTGGTGGCCCCATCTGTAGACACGGGCATAAAGAATAGCACGTGACAAACATCCACTGTGGCACCTTCCCGTGATGGGCTTTAATGTTCTGTAGCCAAATCATGTTTGAAAACTTACATGTAATGTTAGTTCCCCTTCCCCCACATACACTCATAGCATTTATGATAATAAACATGCAGTCTAAAGGCAGATGAATTACATATACTGTCTTGCAAATGTATCTTTGCCACTCCTGCTCTTAACATGCCTGGAATACTCTTCAGGCCACTCTGTCCTTACATTCATTAAAGGTCCAGCTTAAATCCTGATTGTAAGAATCCGTCTGCCAGGGTTACCTGGGTGGCTCAGTTGGTTAGGCATCCATCTTTTGACTTTGGCTTGGGTCATGATCTCATGGTTCATGGGTTCGAGCCCCACATCGGGCTCCTCGAACCTGCTTGGGATTCTCCTTCTCACCCTTTCTCTCTACCCTACCCCCGCTTGTGCTCTCTCCCTCTCTCTCTCTTTCCCTCTCTCTCTCTCTCTCCCAAAATAAACAAACTTGAAAACAAAACAAAGAACCCGCCTGCCAGAATAGTACAACAGCAGGGCGCAGTCCCCTCTGAACCTGCACGATAACACGGCACTGGGTTTGTACCTTGTCCACTGTGTGTGGTTTTCGCGGGTCTCATGGAATCGTAATCCTCACAGACTCCATTGCGAGGGG